AGGAAGCCATCGTCGGCCCCGGGACCTCAGGCCCCTCGCTCCTGCCCGCTGGGCCGCGTCCTGGCGGGCTCCCGCTCTCAGGTGATGGGTCCCCGGTGTGTCCCCCACGGCAAGGTCCAAGAGGGCCCCCCCAGGCTCCCCTTTGCAGGCAGCCCCGCCTTGGATGCTCCACTCATGCCCCACCTCTGGGGATTCAGGCTCCCCCGGTCTGGGGGTCACCCACTGCTCCAGCCCAACATGCAAGGAAGCCTCACTCAGCCACACACGGTCCTTCCTCACCTGAGCTGAGGGAAAGATCGCAGAATGCCCCCAGAGCCTGGTGGGCAGTCCTGAGCAGCCCCGGGCCCCGGGCACAGGGTGGGCAGTCCTGAGCAGCCCCGGGCCCCGGGTGGGCAGTCCTGAGCAGCCCCGGGCCCTGGGTGGGCAGTCCTGAGCAGCCCTGGGCCCTGGTGGGCCGTCCTGAGCAGCCCCGGGCCCCGGGTGGGCAGTCGTGTCCAGCCCCGGGCCCTGCAGAGAAGCCCCTACTCGGGGCCCCGCCATCCCTGAGTGGCTCTGTGGAGCCGGCTGCCGGCTGGCCTGCGGGGTGTGAGGGCCCCAGGAGCACAGCTGCACCCTGCAGCGGAAAGTCAGGGCTGGGAGGTTGGGGTGCGGGGCTGGCTCCCACGAGGCCGAGCGAGGACCCAGCCCAGGCTTCGCTCGGCGCGCCTGGACCAGGCGGTTCAACTCCACCGTCTGCCACCGCCCTACGCCGACAGACCCTCTCCCAGATCCTGGGCTGGCGCTGGGGGCGCAGCGGGCACGCACTGACGCTTGGGTGACCCTTGCTGCCTGACCTTTGGATTTAATCGTTTCTTTTTCTATCGCCGACGCTGGCAAAGCTGCCGTGACCCCGCAGACCCCCGCAGAGGCCGGGCTGGCTGCTTCCTGCTTAGGCGGATGCCTTCAGGCAGCAGCTTCCCGCAGCACCAGCGGCAGGGCCACGGCTAACCGCCAGCTCCCTGACTCTTCAGGCCTCTGCTGCCCGGCCCTGAGGACCCACGGGGGTCAGAGGTCTCGGCCTCCAGAATGCGGTCTGCTCTGCTGGGGTGAGAGCACCCCAACCCTGCCCCAGCACGGCCTTGGGGCCCTGGGTGCTGGTGCCCAGCACTGAGGCCACAGATGTCCACCCCAGTTCAGAACGAGAACCAGGGCCAGCTGTGCCGGTCGGCCTGCTGCGATTCTAAGACAGGCCTCCCCACGGCAAGCCAGGGAACTTGCTGCACCTCAGAAGGTTTTGCTGGAAGGGGTGATACTCCTCTTCACTGGCCGGACAGTAGACCAATGCCCTGCCAGACTCAAGCCCTAACAACGCCCGGGGAGTCGGAGAGGGGCTGTCGGCTCGCCTGCGTCTTCAGAGGTCAGCTGTCGGAGCCCTGAGACTGGAGGGGGGCTCCCCCCGTCCCATCTGCCCTCTTCCAGCCTGGCCCTGGAGGGGTCTGCACAGACACCCCTTTCTTGCAGTGTAGAATGCTAACAGCCCTTCCTCACCGTCCACATCCTCAGTGGCCTTTCTGCTAACAGGTGTGTGTGCAGAGACAGATGAAAATCACACAGAATAAAGGTGTTACTACCCAGCATGTATAAGAAACTCCGATAACACAGCAACATAAATAGAACCCAATTTAAAAATGGGCAGAGGACTTGAACTGACCTGTCTCCACAGAAGGTAGACAGCTGGTCATAAGCAAGTGAAAAGATGCTCGATAGCAGCTCTCATCAGGATGGTTGTCACAGAGAATAATAATGAACAGAAAACAGCAAGTGTGGCTGAGCACATAGGGAAATTACACCCCGTGCGTTACAGGTAAGAATGCAAAGTATAACAGCCACTGTGGAAAATAATTTAGTAATTCCTCAGAAGGTAAACACAAAATTACCGTATGACCCAGTGACTTCACACTGGGGAGTGGGCCCCCAAAATTTGAAAATGAGAACTCAGTTACTTGTACAGCGATATTCATAGCAGCATTCTTTATAATAATCAAGAGGTAAAAGCAACCCCAGTGGCCATCAATGTTGGAATAGTACTCAGCCATGAAAAAGAATGAACTTCTGATACGGGCTACTACCATGTAGATGAGCTTTGGTAACATTATGGGAAGTGAAAGAGGCCAGAAACAAAAGCAAATCTGATAGAACCCCACTTTTAATGGCATCTGAAATTGGAGTTCAATTCACAGGAATGGCAGGTAGACTTCCCAGGGGCTGCGAGCGGCTGGGGGTGCCTGGAATCGGTGCTTACTGGGTTCCACCCCGTGTGGGGTGACGAAAGGGTTCTGGAGATGGATAGCGGAGACGGCAGCCCAACGCTGACTGTGCTGGACCCCTCTGAGCTGTGCAGGTGAGTGCAGTTCGAGCTGAGGGTGACCTCACCCCGGGCAGCAGCAGGCTTTCCCACGCGTGTAAGTGCCCAGTGAGGCTAGCTCAGTTCTGGGGCGCTGCAGGGGAGCGTGGCTGGCCCGGGGCCCCCACTACCCCCCACCCAGGTGCTAGCCTCCACACAAGAGCGCAGGACGGGACGGGAGGGAAATTCATCTGCAGGATGTGTGAGCCCGAGCAGAACTCCGACCTTGGCAACTGCACAGGAAATGATTTTAATTTTGTCTTAAGACTCCATGTAACCTAGACACTCAGCTGGGACCCCGTTTCCTATTTCAAGACTTTTCCAAACACTTGTGTTTGCAGAGACCTTCACACACACACACGTCCAGGGGAAGGAATCCGAAGGAAGAGCGCTTTTCTGGGACGGTGGCCCAGTCCCCTGGGCTCCCCACGCCCCTGCAGTGTTTTCACAGGAAAACGGGCGTAGAGGATGAGCACCTGCAGGAAGCGCGGGGTCTCAGGAGGCTCCTGGATGTGACCCAGGGTCACCGGAGAGGCCACAGGAGGCGGTCGGCGGGCCGCTCCAGCCCGGGGCCTCAGCACAGTGCGTCCATCCGGCGGGGGGCCTCGCCCGCGCGGGCTGGCTGTGGGGACGCAGCGCACCGGCGGGAACCTCAGAGGCGCACCCGGCCCCCCGCGTGCCTGTGCACCCGCCTGCGACCCAGCACCGAGGGCCTCTGCCCACACAGCCACCGCGCCCCTTTCTGGGGTAGAAAACTTGACTAGTTTAAAAACAGGCAGCCTGGATGAATTTCCACATCTGAAGGCCAGACAATAGGAAGTCTGAGTAATTCTTTAGAAGCTGAATAGAGGCCAGGTGAGATGATCGAACAATAAGATTTGGGTTTCCTCCATCCAGCAGTGAGAGACTTTGCAGAAACAGCCCTTTTGCGTTTATTGATCAGCCAGTAGTCAAGTCACTTGACTTCAGGGGAATGTCTCACCCTGGTGCAGGGCTTGCTTGTCAGGGCAGGCGGCCTTCTGCAGCTGAGGCCGTCCAATTGTAAGCTGAAAGTTGCTCAGAATATTTTGATATTACGGTTATACAAAAAAGGGAGGTCATAAGTTAGCGTGGAAAGTCTGATTTTTCAGAGCAATTCCCCTCCATCTGGACCGTGTCTGACGACAGAGGTTGCATAGCTCGTGTCATCTCCCCCTATTTTGTTTTTTAACTGAAGCTGAAATGCCTGTAATTCGATGTGGGTCTTTCTGAGGGCTGTGAAGAGGGCACGGACGGGGACTGGAAATATAAACAGGAGAGAGAATGATTAGAAGAGAAATGCCAAAGTTAATCACAGAGGGAGAGGAGAGCCGAGCGGTTGTGCAGGTATAATGTTGGAGAGCATTGAGAAGAGTCCGCCCATCTCAGCTAGAGGCAATACCACCCTAAACTGTTCTTAGACAAAAAGATGATTGTGATCTCTCAGCCCAGCTCCTGTGCTGATGTCATCCCGCTGCTTGCTAATGTATAAAACAAACCTCTGCTGAAGGCAGCGCGGGAAGACTTGCACCCAACTCCGACTCCCGTGTCTTCCTCGCCCCCCGTCCCCCTTTTCTCCTTTTCTCCCCTTTTTAGGAATCTCCGCTCGCTGACGCCTTCCCACCTTAGAGTCCTGCCTGTCTTGCCTCCAGACACCTCAATAGTTGGAGCTGGTCTCCCACAGTGTGGGGCCCCCCGGGGGTCCCCCGCCAGCTGCGAGGTCACACAGGGTGGGTCGCGGGGCCTGTGCCAGGGCTTGTGTGCCCTGCGGCCCAGGGTCTCTGAAGCCCGGGTGCCCATGTGTCCCACACAGAAGGGAGAGCAGGGGAGGCTGCCCAGGGGAGCCCTGGGGGGCGGTGGGGGTGGAACCTGCCTCAGCGGCCACGTTTCCAGAAGAGACAGGAGTCTGGCTTTAACGTGAAACGCGTCAGGTTTCAGTGCGACAGCTAACTCAAGCGAGCCTGGCCCTGGCCAAGCCAGACTGCGTCCAGCCGTGCCCTCGGAGCGGGAGGACAGGAGAGGACAGGCGAGGCCGGCCGC